AATGTGACACTATACACTTTGTGACACTCATCAAATATGTGACACTCATACAATAGTGACACTCATACACAATATGTGACACTCATACACAATATGTGACACTCATACACAATATGTGACTCATACACAATATGTGACACTCATACACAATATGTGACACTCATACACAATATGTGACACTCATACACAATATGTGACACTCATACACAATATGTGACACTCATACACAATATGTGACTGTCATACACAATATGTGACACTCATACACAATATGTGACACTCATACACAATATGTGACACTCATACACAATATGTGACACTCATACACAATATGTGACACTCATACACAATTGTGACACTCATACACAATATGTGACACTCATACACAATACTGTGACACTCATACACAATATGTGACACTATACACAAATACATGCATACACAATATGTGACACTCATACACAATATGTGACACTCATACACAGTCAGTGACACTCATACACAATATGTGACACTCATACACAATATGTGACACTCATACACAATATGTGACACTCATACACAGTCAGTGACACTCATACACAATATGTGACACTCATACACAATATGTGACACTCATACACAATATGTGACACTCATACACAATATGTGACACTCATACACAGTCAGTGACACTCATACACAATATGTGACACTCATACACAATATGTGACACTCATACACAATATGTGACACTCATACACAATATGTGACACTCATACACAATATGTGACCACTCCACACACAATAGTGTGACACTCATACACAATATGTGACACTCATACACAGTCAGTGACACTCATACACAATATGTGACACTCATACACAATATGTGACACTCATACACAATATGTGACACTCATACACAATATGTGACACTCATACACAATATGTGACACTCATACACAATATGTGACACTCATACACAATATGTGACACTCATACACAGTCAGTGACACTCATACACATTACGTAAACATTGCACTTATTCTTACAAAATAACATGTACACATGACACACATACACAATAACACATAAGCATTACATTCATTCATTCATACATAAGAATATGTATACATGACACAGTCCTTCACTAGTGTCACAAACGTGTCGCGTCTTTATATATTTACATGTTTCACAAACAATGTCGTCAAAATACCGTAAACTAGCGTATAAATGTATGTAAAAAAACATACATATATATGTGTATGTTTGTGCGCTTGTTAGTCTTTCAATGTCATATGAAAATGACCAATAAATAAATAAAAATGAAAACAGTGTAATATTTAATACAGTTTTGATGGAGGTGGAAAAGTTCTTCACACTTGGACATTCATCTACTAAAATAAAACACTTACAAATACTTTAAACTGAAAAATAAGCAAGAAAATCTCGTACTTAGACTAAATTCATACTGTAATAAAAAAAGGATTTCCAAAAATTTACGTTAATTATGCCTCTCGGAGGTGGCGGAACTGTGAGGCAGTTTGGGTGGCGTCTAGCTGACCTACGGTCGCGGCTGTCTTGGTGGTGTAATTACTGGACGCATTTTTCCCTGTGTGTGTCACCTCCAGTAATTCCACCCACCTGGACAGTCTCTACCGTAGACCAGCTAGACAAGACCAAGTTTCCATGCAGCGAGGTCACTGAAGGTGGCAACCGCTGACTCTGGGGAAGTGGGGAAGGGAGTCCACCTGAGGTGACACTAGTGGACTCCTGGAGACACTGATCCGGGGAAGGCACCGCTGACTCTGGGGAAGTGGGGAAGGGAGTCCATCTGAGGTGACATAAGTGGACTCCTGGAGACACTGATCCGGGGAAGGCACCGCTGACTCTGGGGAAGTGGGGAAGGGAGTCCACTCAGGTGACATAAGTGGACTCCTGGAGACACTGATCCGGGGAAGGCACCGCTGACTCTGGGGAAGTGGGGAAGGGAGTCCACCTGAGGTGACATAAGTGGACTCCTGGAGAGACTGATCCGGGGAAGGCACCGCTGACTCTGGGGAAGTGGGGAAGGGAGTCCATCTGAGGTGACACTAGTGGACTCCTGGAGACACTGATCCGGGGAAGGCACCGCTGACTCTGGGGAAGTGGGGAAGGGAGTCCATCTGAGGTGACACTAGTGGACTCCTGGAGACACTGTCCGGGAAGGCACGCTGACTCCTGGGAAGTGGGGAAGGGAGTCCACTCAGGTGACACAAGTAGACTCCTGGAGACACTGATCCGGGGAAGGCACCGCCGACCTTAGGTAAGTGGGGAAGGGAAGACATCCGGAGCGAGCGGATGGATTCCTGGATTCATAAACTTGGGGAAGGTTGTGGTTGAGGCTGACCTTGGGTAAGTGGGGAAGGGGAGACATCCGGCAGCGAGCAGATGGATTCCTGGATACATGAACCTGGGGAAGGCATGAATACATGCAGTTGAGGCTGACCTTGTGTAAGTGGGGAAGGGAAGATATCCGGCGGTAGACGGAAAGATTCCTGGATACATGATCCTGAGCAAGGCAAGAATACATGCAGTTGAGGCTGACCTTGGGTAAGTGGGGAAGGGGAGACATCCGGCGGTAGACGGAAGGATTCCTGGATACATGATCCTGAGCAAGGCAAGAATACATGCAGTTGAGGCTGACCTTGGGTAAGTGGGGAAGGGAAGATATCCGGCGGTAGACGGAAGGATTCCTGGATACATGATCCTGAGCAAGGCAAGAATACATGCAGTTGAGGCTGACCTTGTGTAAGTGGGGAAGGGGAGACATCCGGAGCGAGCGGATGGATTCCTGGATACATGAACCTGGGGAAGGCATGAATACATGAAGTTGAGGCTGACCTTGGGTAAGTGGGGAAGGGAAGATATCCGGCGGTAGACGGAAGGATTCCTGGATACATGATCCTGAGCAAGGCAAGAATACATGCAGTTGAGGCTGACCTTGGGTAAGTGGGGAAGGGAAGATATCCGGCGGTAGACGGAAGGATTCCTGGATACATGATCCTGAGCAAGGCAAGAATACATGCAGTTGAGGCTGACCTTGTGTAAGTGGGGAAGGGGAAACATCCGGAGCGAGCGGATGGATTCCTGGATACATGAACCTGGGGAAGGCATGAATACGTGAAGTTGAGGCTGACCTTGGGTAAGTGGGGAAGGGGAGACATCCGGCGGTAGACGGATGGATTCCTGGATACATGATCCTAAGGAAAGCAAGAATACCGCTGACTCAGAGGAAGTGGGGATGGGAGTCCACTCAGGTGACACAAGCAGACTCCTGGAGACACTGATCCGGGGAAGGCACCGCCGACCTTAGGTAAGTGGGGAAGGGAAGACATCCGGGAGCGAACGGATAGATTCCTGGATTCATGAACTTGGGGAAGGTTGTGGTTGAGGCTGACCTTAGGTAAGTGGGGAAGGGGAGACATCCGAGAGCGAACGGATGGATTCTGGAACAGAACCGGGGAAGGTGGGGCTGGGAAGGGGGGACCCCGAGAGAGAGGAAAGAGGGGACCAGGGCGACCGGGGGGATGGGGAAAGGGGAGACTCCGGGGGCACGGATGGTTCCGGGAAACATGAGGGGGGAAGGGCGGGGGGGGGGAAAAAGGGGAGAATCCCCCGGGGGAAGGTTCCTGGAAACCCAAAGAAACTCTGAGGCTGACGGGGGAAAAATTTTATGGGGAAAATTCTAAACAATTAAAAGGAAAAATTCTTTGATTTGGTAATAAGGGCGCCCCGGGGGGGAGCGGGGACCCCCCTTCAGCCTCCCACGTTTCCCGTAGGTACCTGGGAAATGGGGAAGAGCCCGGTTGATTTTAAATAAATTTCCTACAACCCGGGTTTTTTCATTTAGCTCCCCTTTTTAAGTAGAAGGGAATTCCCCCCAGTCCCTGACTGCCCGGGGTGATTTTATTACTGTTGACATCCCGGTGAGTACCCCCATCCAGCCCCTGCAGACCACGGGGGTTTTTCCACTCCAGCCTCCTGATGTACCACGGGACCCACTAGCCCCCTGAAGGAACGGGGGGTTATTCCCCACCCCAGCCCTTGGGAAGTTGTGTTACCCAATAGCCTCCGAGACCCAAAGGGGGATTTACCCACTAGGCCTGGGGGGAAGGGCCCAAAGGTGAGACCCACTCCTTTTTGGGGAAAAGGCCACGGGGGTTTTTCCAGCCTTTAAAGGGCCCAAGGGTTAACCCGCCCCCCACGTCCCAGGGTTTTAAAACCCCCCCCCTGGGCCCGCGGGGGCCAAAGGGATGTTATTCCCACTCAGTTGACATGATTTGGATTCCCCAAAGCTCCCTACAGTACCCATGTGTTATTCCACTCCAGCCCCCTGCAGTAGCCGGTGGTTTTTCCCACACCTCCCTGACAGTACCCCGGTGAGTTATTCCACCCCAGCCCCCCTGACAGTAGCCACGTGGGTTTTTTTCCCACTCCAGCCTCCTGACATAGCCACGGTGATGTTTTCCCACCCCACCCTCCCTGACAGTAGCCCACGGGGCGTTATTCCCACTCCAGCCCCCCTGACAGTCCCACGGTGATGTTATTCCCACTCCAGCCCCCCTGACAGTAGCACGGTGGTTATTCCCACCCCAGCCCCTGACAGTAGCCCGGTGGCTTTATTCCCAATCACCCTCCCCTGACAGTAGCCACGGTGTTTATTCCCCACTCCACCCCCTCAGTGCCGGTGGGTTTTTCCCCACTCCAGCCCCCTGACGTCCCACGGTGTTTTTATTCCCACCCCAACCCCTGACGTACCCAAAGGTGGGTTTTTCCCACTCAGCCCCCCTGACAGTAGCCACGGGGTGTTTTTACCTCCAGTTTCCCTTTTAAGTACCCCCGTGCTTTTATTACTACCCCCCTTTGACAACCCCGGGCTATTTTACTCCTTTTTACTGTACTTTTTCTTTGTTATTTAAATTCATTTTATTTTTCCCTTTGAAGTACCTTCTTTTTTAAAATTACTATTTCCTTTGAGTACACTTTGTGTTTACTCAGTCTGATTTTCTTTGTTTACTGACTATCTTCTGTGTTTATGTACTTTCTTTTTTTTCTTTATTGATTTTTTTTTGTTACTTATTTTCTTTTTTTTTTAATTTGTACTTTTTTTTTTACTTTTAGTACCTTTGTTATTGTATGTTTGTGTTCCCCTATTGTAAAAAACTTCCTTTTTATTATGATTTTGTGTTTAATGTGACTTATTTGTTCTTACTGAATTTTTGTTATGTTTATTTTTTGTTTTTTTTTTTTAAATATATTTCTTTTTTATGTATATTTGTGTTATAGTGTATTATTTTCTTTGAAATTGGTTATATTTATGGGTTTTTGTATGATTTTTTTTATGATGATTTTTGTTTATATGATATTTTTTTGTGGTTTTGGTAATGTTACTATTTTTTTTTATTTTTTTTTTTTCCCGGGTTGTATTTTTTATTTCATGTATTTTAAAATTATATTTTGGTTTTATGTGAAATTTGGTTTTTTAAAATTTTTTTATTTAAGTGTTAGTTTATTATTTTTAGGGTTAGAAAATAAAAAAATTTTTTAATTAATGTGTAAAAATTTGGAAATTTTTATTGTATTATAAATTATTTTGTTAAAAATTTTAAAAAACCCCTTTAAAAAAATATAAAGTGGATTATGGGAAAATTAAGGGTGATTTTTTGATTCGGGGTGTATGTTTAAAAAAATACAGGGGGGAAGTGTATATAAATTTTGAAGGTGGTAGTTAAAAAAAGGGTTTAGTTAGTAATATAATATTGAGGTGGTAGTAGTGTAGTAATATAATATTGCAGGTGGTATAAGTGTAGTAATAAAATATTGGGGTGGTAGTAGTAGTAGTAATAAATTTTGGGGGAAAAAAATTTAAAAATTTTTGGGGGTGGTAGTAGTAGTAGAAATATAATATTGCAGGGGGTAGTAGTGTAGAAATATAATATTGAGGTGGTAGTAGTAGTAGTAATATAATATTGGGGTGGTGTATTTAGTAGTAATATAATTTGAAGGTGGTAGTAGTGTAGTAATATAATATTCAGGTGGTAGTGTAGTAGAAATATAATTTTTAGGTGGTAGTAGTAGTAGTAAATATAATATTGAGGTGGTTTAAAATTTAAAATTTGTAAAGTATTTTTTAATTTTTAATTAGTAGAAATATAATATTGAGGTGGTAGTAGTGTAGTAATTTAAAATATTGAGTGGTATAGTAGTAGATTATATAATATTGAGGGGTTGTAGTAGTGAAATTTTAATATTGCAGGTGGTAGTAAGTAGTAGTAAATAATATTGAGGTGGTAGTAGTAGTAGTAATATAATTGGGGTGGTAGTAGTGTAGTAATATAATTTGAGGTGGATTTAGTGTAGAAATATAATATTGCAGGTGGGGAGTAGTAGTAAATATAAATTTTAGGTGGTAGTAGTTAGTAGTATTAAAATTGAGGTGGTAGTGAAAAAAAAATTAAAAAAAAAAAAACCCCCCCCCCCCCCCAATGTAGATAATATATTGGTAGAAAAATTAATTGCAATTGCTTTTTATCCTTTTAAAATTTGTGCAATTTATTGTTTACCATAGTATTGCACCTCATCAACCCATATATATCCTCTGTGTCCATGAAATTTCGTAACGGCTCAAAGCCCCTGGGAGCGAAACGTTGCCACAAAAAAATGTCAATTGTTGCCTTGTGTCCTTTTACTTTACTCAGTCATTTAAACCTGAGAAACTTTTTTAAGTGGACTGTCTTGTCCAAAATCTTTTTTTTTACATGAAGAACCCTTTTAGTTATTCCTCGGTTCTTGGACTTTAACTTCTAATGTTTTTTGCTTTTCTTTTTCCCGTTTTTTAAAAATTTCCCTTTTTAATTGAATATACTTTTTTTTAAGTCCCCCTTCTGTTATTTATTCTCCTTAGGTCTCTCTTTTGCCTACCAGATTGTTTAATCTGTTTTTTTTTCCTATACGTAAGTTTTTTACTATTTCCCTTCTGGAACCCTTTGGGACCCTTTTAGTGGGTCTCTGGTCCTTTTTCTATTTTAAACTTTTTATTTTTAACGGATTTCAATTTTAACGTGTTACGGAAAAAAGGAAAAATTTTTTTGAATTAAATTTTTCCCTTCCCAAAAAGGTTCCACTTTCCCCTCAAAAATCCACAACCCCCCAGTTTCCCCAAAACATCCCCCCCCCAAAAACCACCTTTCCATAAAAAAATCCACAAATCCACGTGTTCCCCTACAAACATCCCCACACCCCGGTTCACTAAAACATCCACAACACCCCGTGTTCCCTAAAAAAAACCACAACAAACCACATGTTCCCCCAAAAAACCCAAAATCCCCAGGTTCCTAAACATCCCAAACCGTGTTCCCTAAAAACATCCCCAACATTTCCCAATGTTCCTAAAAAACATCCACAAACCCAAGTGTTCCTAAAATCCACAAATCACATGTTCCATAAATCACAACATACTGTACTAAAAATCACAACACCAATGTTCCCAAAATCCCCAACTCCCATTTTACTAAAAACTCCCAAACACTAAAAAGTTTCAAACTCCACACACCAAAGCTAAAACATCCCCCAATTTATCCCCCAAAATTTTCCAGAAAAAAAAAACACCCCCCCTGTTTTGCAAAAAAAAACCCAAAAGTTTTCCCCGAAATCCCCACATTACAGGTTTTGCTAAACCCCCCCCCCCCTTTTCCTAAAACATCCCAAAAACACTGGCCTAAAAACCCCAAAATTTAAAATTTTGGTAGGATCCCCTTCAATGAATAAAAAATACACACCCATTTGGAAAATCCAAACAACCCCCCCCAATAAATTTAGTAAAACATCACCAAAATTACAGTGTTTCGTAGAAAAAAAAAAATTACAGTGGGGCCCGGAAGTACAAAAAAACAGGTTTTGTAGAAAAAAAAAAGGAGAGAAAAAAAAACACACAGGTGGAAAATCCAAACACCAGGGGTTTTAAAATCCACCAACTCCACATGACCCTCCCCCCTCCAAACACCATTTTTAAACCAGAAACCCAACCCCACATTTTTGAAAAAACCCCCTTCCATTTTCCAGAAAAAACAAATTTTAAGTGTTCCTTTTAAAAAATAA